CAACACACAGCCTTTCTCTTTCCATGAGTCTAGAATCCTCAGCTGCTCTGTTTCTCCATGCCATTATCTCTGCCTCCATCTCTGGTGTCACTGCTTCTCTGAATAGGGTCCCACATTATGCTCCTTCTCTTCTCCATTGATGAGCCTAGGTTTCTCTGTTTCTGGAATGTAAGATTAACTACTCCCACTTTATGTTACAAAGCTTCTACCTGTACAGTTGTGGTAATTTACAATTCATCATGATAACAATTACTCAGTATTGAGTCATAAGAATCTTATCCCCATCTCCTTTCACCAGATCCATCTAGACAAGATGAAAACTATTCATTGGGGATTCTACCTTCCCCCCCACACTCTGAAACTAAACTCTCTCTGAAAATTTGTAAGCCAGTCACTTTGTGCCTTTATGACCTCTTACCCCCATTTTAGGTAGCTAATGTTTAAGTTGCCTGTCCCTATTAACCCTGTGTCCAGAGGGGATAGGTTTGATCCTTGATATGAAGACTCCTTTCCTCGCAGTTGTTATTTTGAGCTACTACATCCACAAGTATAGCTCAAGATCATCAAATTGTAGTAATTTACACTTGTTTCCTTTATCAAATTTTGTTTTTTTAATCTTCCTCTAGTCAAGTTCTGATCATCAAGCCATCAAAACTAGGTCAAATGCATATGGTCTTCATGTTTGGATGTTCTTGTGTCTCTCCCCTTATTTCACAGTTTGGAATGTGGTCGAACTCAGCCCATATCTTCATTGATACCTTTCCCCAACTTCCGCTCACCAGTAGAACAACATGGTCGCCAGTAAGCTTACATGCCTGCTCATGTGTTCCCTTTGAGTTTCAGTCTTGCAGGGGGTTTGTCCTGAAGGGACTTGATGAAGGCACTGCTTGCCTTGATAGCTCACCAGTGAACAACTTGGTTGTTATTATAGTAGCCAATCAGACTGTTGTTTTTGTTTTTGTTGTTTCCTTCTGGTATTTATGTCAAGAAGTATCTTCTGTTCCTTTAGCTGCTCCAGACTGATCTGCCTGTCCTTTTCAAGCCGGAATGTTCCACCTTAGAAGGTTCTGGATGGGGCTCAAGATTCTACCTCAGTTCCTATACACTGAAAAGGCTCTGTAAAAACCCTATTTCACTGGGCAAGTTTAGGTATAATACCTTTTAGGTATTCCAATCAGTTATAGGCTGAAGACATACCTACAAACTTTCTGTATTCGTGTTTCTTAATATTCCTTTCTATCCCACTCAAGTGTTTGTTTTACTTTAATAGGCATGGGAAGCTAATATCCATAAGACAGGCAAGCATCTTAACATTATCTCCCCTCTTTCCCTCTTTTACCTATTCAGGCTATACCTCGATCCCTACACAGAGCCCTGTTGTTCCAAGGTTGAGCATACATCATTATTTACATCTATTTCATTTAGCCCATGCAAACCTGCCTAAGTGTTCCCCTATCTACCTTGTTCTTCCATCCCCTGCCCCTTCTTTGTATTCCCTCCGCAACACTCGGACTACAGTGTATCTATCCTCTGCCCTTGCCCTGTGCTCTACTGTGCCCTGCCTCCCACCCCTGGCAACCAACAAAGAAGTTTTTTTTTTTTT